CATCTAAAAATTAATTATCCCCCCCCCCCCCCCCCCGCCTTCATACAACAACATTCTGCATCTTATGCTTTTTGTTGTTTCAAGCAGTGTTCAGTGAGGTGCAGCTTCATGGAGGTCTCGTTATTTTCCAGGAGCACAGTGTACATTTTGTGGTCATCAGTTCTATTCTGTTGTTGAATTACATAGCACAGTACAAATTAAAGAGTAGAGAATTGAATGGGGTCATTCATGTCAGATGTGTTTCTCAGGCGGCGGGGAACAATTACTATGAATTCCTGAATAAGAATAGTTACTTCTGCCTGCTATTGTATAAAATTCAGAAAAAAATAAAATTACCTTATAAATTTGCTATGACTATATCAAGTGGCTCTAACTGATCATAACAAAACAATCAAATTTTGTAGCCTTAGCAGGTACTCCTTATGGTACCTTTCTACTCATATTATGAAGCAAGTGCAAAGTATACAGAATAATATGGAAATGGAGCAGGAGATTAATATCTGCTCTGGGTGTGTAAAATATTTTATGACTGTAAGATCAGGGGCCTGTATTACAATGCCAAAGCTGCTTGACAGATGTGAAAGTCTCAAGCTGTGGTTTCCCAGGTGGCAGTGCATGGCAGCAAGTATCATTTGAGGCAGCATGTTGCTTCCCATTGGCTTTCTAAAATAGGTGGAGTGGCTGATCTCTTCTAGTCACGATGGGCAAGGGAGTTTTTCTTTGGAAGAACAGTCTTTTATCTGTGAAAAGGAATTTCAGTATACAATAACATATTCAAAAGCACCTAAATAACCTTTGATCCATGGTGCAAAGTCTTAAAGACTGAATAATACATTTTAAGAGAGTTAAGGTAAGTCTATACTGAAGTTGCAGATAATTGAACTGATGTGAACAGTGTGAGCTCAGTACAAGCTAATGGATCTCGGCAAGGCAGTACCTTCAGTGCAGACGTTTTCCTGGCCGCATACCTGCCTAAGCTTACTTTCAAAAATCCTTTTTTTGTTGTTGTTTTGAAACAGCTTTTTGCACAGAACTCTCTTATTGCTTCATTCACACATATCACACCAAGGTTTTGCAGTGAGTTGGTCTGAATAGTAGAGTGTTCTTCAGCTTTAACTTCATGCATCCAGCATACTCCTTGTGACTAAAAAAATTGCTAACCATTTCTAAAACTTCTGCTACAATGGAAGTTACTAATTTTTCCTTGTCCGGAGCCCTCTGTCACATGTGTACTGAATTAAGATTTGGCATTATAGGCTACAGAAACATCAGTTTGTTGCAGACTCTTTTAAAACTGATATAGTTAATACTGGCTGAGAAATGGAACATTTTCAGTACTTTATATTGTTAAATGCAATTAAGAAATAGACAGGAAAAAAGGTACACTTAATTTCTGTGAGTTTGCTTTGTTTAGAGTGAATGACTTAAGCCATGCAGTTTCTTTTTCCGTAGAAAGCAATTGTAGACAGAGGTTTTCTTGTACGCTGCCTTTGAAAATTAAATTCTGTTTAAGAATACTATTGGTCCCACCGTAGCACAGTGTAAATAGTAGAGCATCTTGGGTTTGTCACCTGCTTGGCAGGAGTCTGTTTTGCCTTTCCTCTCTTTATGAAACCTGTCAACCTCTTTCTTCTCTTCCTTAGAAGATATCCATCTTACTCCTGGGAAGAAGGTGGAGTCATAATTTTGGTGACAGTTTCTCCATTCCCTCCCAGGTCCTGTTCCTCACATATTTTCTTCCTCTTCAAAAGTCCTGTGACTTCTTTATCACAGTCCTCTATTGTGAATGGAGGAAAGGAAGTATGCAAATACCCTCTCTTTTGTGCCACTTCTCATCTCATTGTGGCAGATTACAGACCTGACTAGTTCTTGATTTGGTTTGCTTCTTTGCTAACTCTCAGTTCTCCTGTACAACATAAAATTGCTTCATTTATCCTACTTGCAATTGTAAACCTCTTTCAGATGCTCTTCCAATATTCCTGAACTGCTGCGTTACTGTAATTGTATTACCTCTTGCAGAGCTGCAGGTCTGAGATACTCACACAAGGAAATGCCGTGTATGGCTCAAATATAGGAGCTGACATTGCTGTTTGTGACAGAGTGATATGTTCATACACAGGATAGGATATTTTTGGATTGATTGCAAAAGGACCCTGTACTCTCTACTTTGGAGACCCATGCAATTTACCCATAAATAGACCATTAAGCATCATTAGTGCAAAGAATAAATGTACCGTAGTTTCATATTAATTAAGTGCTCTCTGTAGAGTAAACTTCGAAAGTTAAATGGAAATTTTTAAGCCATTTTCTCAGGTTAGCCATTTCTCTTAGGGACAAGTAGAGCTTGTTTTTAATACGTGTTCCATAACCAAAGCTTACATTTACCCAAATGACCTACCAGATCTATGGGTATTTTAGAGAAACGATCAATAAACTATTAAACCACTTCTTACACTGAACAGCATTTTAAAATTTTTTTTAGCATTTTTACATACTTGGGGGAAAAAACTAACAAAATATATAAAGTGAAGAAAAATCATGTGTAATAAATTGTGAATGTATTTATCACCCTGTGCAGATTTAGATGAAAAAGATATAGGGATTTGTACACAGTGCATCGTTAATTACTCCTGTCAGAAAAAAAGAAATACTCTGTATCTTTTCTGCTCCAATTTTTGTTATATCTTCCACTGCTTAGAGCACAGTAAAGCTCTGTGATAGATTCTTTTGGGATTTGTTAGTAAAATATATACTCAAGCTGCCATTTGAAGTAAGTGTGTTGGTGATTCAGGCTTTTATTTTTTTTGTGAATATTGCTTGGTAACTATTGTCTGTCTCGTATTTACAGTACATCTTTCTTGCACATTTAGGTACACCAGAAAGCCTGGCAGAAAAAGAGCGACAGCTCTCTACTATGATCACCCAGCTGATCAGCTTACGGGAGCAGCTCCTAGCTGCCCATGATGAACAGAAAAAGCTGGCAGCCTCACAAATTGAAAAACAGCGGCAGCAAATGGACCTTGCTCGCCAACAGCAAGAACAGGTGAGGCTCCAAGAAAGAAACCTGTGAAAATGTTTCATGCAGAATGCTTATCGTAAACACTGTTCTGCTTGGATTTTCCTTTCATCTTTTTTGTTAAAAGAGCTTAAATGTCTTCTTTTTCCAGAAAGAGGAAATATTATAGGACTCCGAGAAAAAAAGTGTGTGTGGACATTACAATAATCTTCTTCCTAGAATAAATGGCATTTGATAGATTTCACAGTTCTTGTTTGTTGCATTGAGATGCAATTTTGGGAGTTACAAATAAACCAGACTATAACCATGATTTAACTCCCTCTCTTTTTGACAAGAAAATAATTGAAAAAAAAAAAAAAAAAGGCCTTGAGCATCCTCAAACCTTCAGATATCTTCTACAAGTAAGGTTTGATTTGTTTGTTTGTGTCGTGGGGGTTTTTTTAAAGATGCAGTTGTCCAAAGAACTGTCCTTTTCTCATCGTACAAAAGTGTAACAACAGTGGTCCCATACACTAGTCCCCAAGACGTTAGATAAGACAGATCCAAATTAATGTGTGTTTTTTAGGAATCTGACATTATTACTAGAATTATCTTTTCAGTTAAATGTATTTTGTAGGATATATACAGCAATATATGCTCTGTTGATTTTAATGAGTTGTGACGTCTGGTATTTTATGTGCTTGAGTATTTGCCCACATGTAGGAATATGGACTCATCCCCTAATGGAAAATAACATAAAGGAACACTGTAAAAAATCAGAAGTTAGAATGTCATTTAGCCATCCAGAGATGACACAGTAATTAACTATTGACACTTGTGAATAAGCTAGCACAAATTAATCTTGACACATTTGCAGACGAGTGATATCTTACAGTGAACACTTTGTAATTATATTTCAAAATGAAAATTAAATGACACTTAAAACTAGGTTGTCATGCTCAATGAAGCGAGCATGTAGCTCAACCAATAGGCAAATAAAATTCAGAATTTGAGCCACATGGTGCTTGTGTACCCTACTTTACTGTGTCAACTCTATACATCAAGACTATGCTATGGTAATTGCATTGCGGGGTGTTGGATACATTTTCTATCACAGTACTGTTCCATCTAAGAGGAACCATTGACATTAGATGCTTCATGGTATATTTCTGGTTTTCATCAGGAAATGCCTATTCAAATGGTACTATATTGTACATACAGTTACAAAAACCTGTTCACAGGCAGTCTGAACTCTGGCAGATCAGCGCCTTTGCACACGTGAGCAAAGATCCCATCCCTGCCTTGGCTGTAGCTTACCATGTTCAGCAGCAGGCAGGTCATATCTATGAAAAGATACAGGACTCAGAAGGAATGACCCATGCTTGCAGCTCCATGTGGTGTTTGAGTTCAGTATGAAATTACAAGTAATTCCTTTCTGAAGCTGAGCATCATTCTAATCTTTCTGTTACTCTTTCACGGAGACTTTAGCAGCAGGGACAACTGGGCACTAACCTGACCGAGCTCATCTGTAGTGACAAGCCCCATGCTTCTAAGATAGAATAGCACAACTGGTCTGTCACTCATTAAAACACTAACTCAAGCACTCATAAAAACCTGTTTTTAAACACTCTCTGTAGCAGTGACCATTGGAGTTGCTTTTCCAAGCACAGACCCTAGTGCTGACCACTGATCTGACAGCAGATGACCTGAGGCCCTGGGAGCCGCCCCTGGGTTACCTGGGCGTGCAGGCCCACAGCTCTTTTTGAACTACGGCCTGCTTCCTCAGTCTTCATTTACCACATTTTTATTGACTTTACGGGGAGATTCATCCATAAATATCTGAACACCGGGCTCAGGAAGGGAGTTTGATCCCTGTTACAGGTATCAGTACGGTGGGCTATGGTGGTCGCTCGATTCCTCTTCTGTGTGGAACTAGGCCTCGATCCAGCCCCGGAATCACACAGACTTCAGTTTGTCTCTTTGAGGCTGTATGCAAGACTTAAAATATGTATGACTTTTGTGTTAGTCTCCCATAAAAAAGTGAATCTTAGCTGTAGCAGTGAAAAAAATGAGAGAGCTATTTCCAAGTGACAAAGTGAGAGATTACAGGAATGACAGACTTGGTCTCTGTGTGCACAATTACAAGCTGATAATACGTAACTGCAGGTTCTTTAGGAGTTAATCTGAACAGTTTGCACTGCTTTGTGATTGCTTGTTTTCTGTCATAAAAACATTTTACTTAGCTTTCTCTGTTTATAACAGAGAGAGTAAGCATGCTCGGAAGACAGTGGGGAAGGAGACCAGGAGGTTTTTTGCCAAAACCAAAACAGTGGATTCAAGTGACAAAGCTACCTCTGTCACCAAGGTCTTGCTGTTTTATGTGGTTCCTCTGCTCTAGATAAATATTTATAGGAGGGGAAATTATTAAGAAATGAAGGCTGCTGAAGTGCTGAGGCCGGGGCTTCCAGGAAGCACAAATCTTGTCCCTGCTTCAGCCAGCTGCACAGTTCCCCTCCTGCAGCAGAGGCCCAGTTGTTCCCCCAGCTCCCTGCCGCTCCTCCTGTAGCTGCAGTCTGTGTTGCCCATTGCAGGGAGCAGCTGCGCAGTCTGAGGTGGGGCGGGGAAGATCCCATTTCCCTCTGTGCTTTCATGCTGATTTTGGGTGATTTGTGGGAATTCAGGGTGGGGGTGTGTCTGAGGCAGATTCTCCCTCATTAGTCTTAGTGGTCCCTGCCTTGAACACTTGCTTCTCTTTGTGTTAGAGAAGGGATATAGTGAATCTTTACCCTCCAGATCCTTTACTGAATCTACCAAATGAGGGTAGAAATTTCTGCATATTTCACAGGGTTGTGTTGAGGATGAGTTCCTGAGCACCAGGTACTGCTTTTACAGAGAATGGGACCCTCCTTCCTTGAGTAGTTCCAAGAACACTTTGAGATTTACAGAAGGAATGTGCTGCTCATAGTGAATGGAGTTAGAGAAGCTTGCCGTGGGAGCTTGTGCTGAATAGTGAAACATCTATAAGTACTAGCTAAGGCTCCAGTTCAGCAAAGCAGGAAAATGTGTGTTTAACCTTAAGCACCTGAGTAATCCCATTCCCATTCAGCAAAGCACTTAATTTTAAGCATGTGTTTCATTCCCATTGTAGCTAACAGTAATGCATCATAGTCAAAGATCACCACAGGCTTAAACGCTTTGTTGAATAGTGATGAGATTATTCACATGCACACAGCTAAACCCATGTTTCTGTGCTTTGCAGAGTTGAGGCCTAAGTGCTTACAATACACATTTCTTACTGGCTAACTAGATTTTAATGTTGCACTTAAGTTTAAAATGTTTATGTCACCTATACAGATACTGCTTAAATATCCTTCATCTTTTTAAAAATTAATGATGCTTAATAAAAATATAATAAAGAATAGATAATATGTTTTTCACTCAATAATACTGAAGTTTCTGTATTACTGTTTTAATTTAATGGAAATTTTATTTCTAATAGATTGCAAGACAACAGCAGCAACTTCTGCAACAGCAGCACAAAATCAATCTACTGCAGCAGCAAATTCAGGTCAGTGTGTTTTATTGCTCTCTTCTGATTATACTTAACTTCCATTTATGGAGAGGGAAGGATCTAAAATAAAGCAGCCACATGCTTTACTAGCAAACCTCAGTAAAGATGCTCTTTATGGTGGATCTTTGTGCCTTAGAAAAATATTGTCAAATATCTTTTTGGTGGAAAAAGCTTTTCTTTAATAAGCAGAGTTTTCTTCTGAGTTATAAATTATTTCTTAAATCTTGTCGTTTAATTCTGAAATCTGCAACCAGTTTGACTAGTGTGAAGTACAAGTAGAGTCTCAATCAGTGTTTTTAGAATTCCTTATGCTGCAAAGGCAAGATTGGCTTTGTAAGAAGGTTAGAAGAAGGTTTGCAGTTTCACTAACTAAAGCAAAAAGCTCTAGAATAGTATAATAGACATTGAGACAGCGCTAAGTCCCTGGGACCAGTCTGCTCATATACAAAGACCCACAGGTATATATGTCCCGTAAAACTTCGCAGTAACTGTGCCTTCCTGTGTCTGGAAGTGTTCTGGAGGTATTGAATTGTCTGTACTTGTACTCAGAACCTGGTTTAATTTTGTGCAAATATATGGGGATAGGGAGTGACATGTAGGTAGAGGCATTGTTGACATGTGACTGTATTGCCTTCTCTGCTTCCCAATTGTTTGAAATAATTTCCATGGGCCTGTTCTTTGATTTCAATATGTCAGTTTGGTGTGACAGATGATTATGCTGCCAGTCATTTCTTATAAGCTTGGACTATCAGTTTTTTTCCTTAATCAGCTGATTGCAATGTTACCAGATGCCAGAATGGAAGTTTCTCCTTCCCTTATCCCAAAGGAATGCTTATAAATGCTTTTGCAAATATTGTAATGCAGTTTCAGTTACACTTTAAGGAGTTTAATTAACATATAGAAATGTGTTGATACCTGGGATGAGAGACACAATTGAATTTTAAAGCACCATTATTGTCATTACCTGTTGGAAGACTGCGTGTTCATATTAGGTGTACATAAAAGATGGAAGAGATGAAAGAATACTGAAAGGAAAAAATACACCATCTTCTCTAAGTGTTATTTGCAAGTCTGGCTTCAGAAAACAAAGAATCGTATAAAAAAAATCGTTACTTGGTGGAAAAGCTAAGACTGAAACATAGCTGAGTTTGCTAAGGAGAACAGTTATTTGCATGAAAAATTTCTAATTTTTTTAATTCCTTTAAAAATTAGGACACAGAAAGCAGAACTATGACCAGATCATTTTTGTTCCTATTTGAAGAATGTGGGTATGTTTTACTGGGAAGTGTCCTGCTCTGTAGTAAAAAGTTTAAAGGTATTCTAGGTTTCAGTTCACTCAATACTTTCCTGTAGCTTTACCCTTCCACTGTCTTTGGGGAGAGGAGGTCTTAGAATAGGTTGCGTGTTCATTTTCTTGTTCTCTCTCAGTTTTCCTCTTACATAGTGCTGAGCCCTCCACAAATTTTCTTTCCCATCCTCTCCTAGATGTATATGCAAAGAAGTGTTTTAATGATTGTTGTGTTCATGTGAGCTAAATTATTTCTTGGTGATCTTTCCCTGTATTTGTTTCAAAATTCTTGTCGATATAAGCTAATCTTATTCCATAGTTCCTCAGTAGTTTGGCCTCTATATTTATCTTTATATTTACATGAATCTAATCAGTGTATCTGAGGCAATGAGGACGGTTTCCTCTCCCAGCTTCTTCGTGAGACTGCTAGTGGGTATCTCATTGCCCAAGGAATGTTGCAGACTCTGGTACGAAGCACTAGGCATGTTAGGCAGATGCCATCTCAAACATACATTGGTCTTAGGAGGAGATTACTAAAAAAAAAGTAAATTGTTACGAGATTGTTTCCTAGGCTAAACACGAGCTTACGTACTCCAATTGCTTGTGAGCCAATTGGCTCTTCTTTGTTTATTTGTTTGTTCTTAATTCTGTGGCAGGTTTGCTAGCCAGGAGTTGCACGGGAGAGGTTAGTTGCTAAGTTGCATCTGCAGTTTGTAATAGGTTTGTTGCTACTGAGTGGATTGCAAGTGTTGCAGTTTGTTGAGACCTGTAGCTCCTTCAGGGCTGTAGGTGGGATGGAGGTAAAGCAGGAGGCAGGTGAGATGCAGTGCTGTGCCAGTTCTCCCAGGTCCCCTCCCAGCATCTTCCCAGGTAACCTCAGTACCGATACTGAAAGTCGCACTGATGACTCTGGGTGGAAGAGTAGATAACTGCAGTGTAGACTCTGTCTCAATTAATTATCCAGATTGTTTTTATAGTGAACAGAGAGAAGCAGAGTGAATTGTTTTAGGACGCAATTCATCTTGCCCTAAAGTATACATTTAAAGTATGTCAGATTAATTGTTCCTGAAATGGCTGTTTCTCTCCATTAACTACAAAGGATGCACATGCCGATGCCTATAGTGTAGAGATCCGACGTGAGATAAGGTGAATCATGCTCTCTGTGGCTTGAGGGGAAAAAACAATTTTCTAGTAAACGTTTACATTCTCAGTTTAGTTTTTGGACTTGGTAGAACTCAGAACTGTGTCCTCAATAACTTGATTTTATTCAGAAGGTGCATTTGTTTAAAGACACTCTTGGGCAACCCCTTTCAGTGATTACTTACATAAATTGGTGTGGATTCTTATCTATACTTTGTATGCATGGAAAAAACAATAGCACTCTTCCCTGACACTCCCTTTTTGCGGAGGTTACAAAATGTAAGTAGCACAGGTGCCAGTTCCATCTGGGCACGGGCCTGTTCATGGCACAGCTACTTAAGTACAGTGTGTTCTCCAGGATGCAGGAGTGGGGCGTTGCTGAAGGAATGTTTTAACCTTGAGACACACAGTGTACCACTGTCATCTTCTGAGGTAGTGTTAATTCTTAAATAATATTTCTGTGAATAAGTGCATCCAGTTTATTTAACCATTTAAATAATTGTAATTCCCATAGAAAGTAATTTCTAAGTTTTCTTTCAACCACAGAGAAGAGTGGAAATAATCCATATTAAATAAAACACCTACTGGGTTAATTTACTGAGAATTTTCATTACTTGGTATTTATTATTTACATTGTGTTGTATGTTATTTATTTAACCATTTTAACACCTTATTTCATTTAATTGTTTTTTGTTTTGTTTTGATTTTAAGAACATTTACTGGAGCACACTCCAGACTTGTTATACATCCAAACTTTGTCCACAGTCTATGGGGAAGGAAGATATTAGCTAGGCCTAGCATGTGAAAACAACATGGGTATTTCAAGAGTACTGAGGTCATTAGATGTTCTGCATAATCGTCTCATGTTTTCTAAGTGAAGCTAGTGTTACTTTCAGGGTGTGCATGTTGGGGAAAGCAGTTTTGTCTGTTGACTAAAGATAGTGGGAATCTGTAGTTCTGTCTATGATTATCTGAAATTTGACAAATTGTTTCCTGTTCCTCAATTCGAACATAATGTTTTGAGAATCTTAAATGAAAAATTTCAAATAAATGTAGTATATGACTATTTTTCAGCTCAAATGTCCATAATGTTCATAAACACTCCTCTGCAGAGGAGTCCATAGAGATGGGAGGAAATCTAGTATGGCAAATTAAGTTCTTCCTTCTGCAAAGCTGTGCAGAGAAAACATTGCTTGTAGTGGAAATAAAGTTGAAAAAATAGTGGAGGGCAAGTAAGAGTTCACAGATCAGTCTCCAGGCTGATTCAGATTTTTCAAAAGAACTTTATTTTTTTGTTTAATGAAAAGTATTCTTCTTAAAGTAGAAGGGACAAAATAAGACCATGTCAAGGACATCTCTTAGCCTGTGCTGTGAAAGCAAAAACCTTTAGGGATAAGGGGAAAAGCTGTTTAAAGGAGGAATTTGGTGGTACATCGCTAAGATAAGACTACACTGGAAGGAGGGGAGGCTTCCGTCTCTAGAATGGTTCCAACTGTGAAAACCACGTGAAGCCCTGAAACCCCTCTGCATGGAGTGCCTCATTGCCAGAATTCGCTCCTTTCAGAATGAGGCTCGGGGACTGCTGCTGACCCCATCACATCCAGCTGAGGAAGGTGGTCAGATCCCTCTGGTGCTTGGAGCATGTTGCTCCAGGATTGCTCCAGGGATGGAGGGGTGTGTGTGGACTTACGGGATGAAAGTTTGAGGGCTTCCTTCCTCTGGTGGGCAGACTTCGTTAGGGTGAGTCCTAAATTGTGGCTGAGCTTTTCTGCAAAAACTTGCGATGGGTATCACAGTGTTAGCTGATCCAAACTGCTTTTGTCCATTTTCCTTCACCTTATTCCTCTGTTCTATACTCGGTGTTATTGAAGAGCATTTCATTTTCTGTTTGAATCACTATGATATCCATTGCATAGAAAAACTGGTTTCCTCTGCTCTCATAAGTATTCTGTTTTAATTCAGACACTAGAAATTATTCCTAATAGTATTTTTTTCTAGTTTTAATCTATATCTTCATGCTGTTGTAGTTTCATATTAATGTTCTTGTATTTTCTGTTTCAGTCAAAAAGAGTGAATATTATTACTGTGATAGTAAACAAACAAAAGAATAATAACATAAAAATTACAACTATTTAAAATGTCCTCAAATTGGAATCTTTTGAATCATACTTAAGAGGCTGAACCAATGAGTCTCTCTTCTTATCCGTGATTAACTACTGACAATTCAGGTACCTGGTGAGCTGAATAAGGACTATCTCTTTATGTGAAGTACATGTCTAAAGATCAGGAATAATTACATTCCACATTAGCCTACATAGCCTCCCTGACCTGGTTAATTAATTTTTTGCTAGGATAATAATAGTAGAAATAGATTTAAAGATATGCTTCATCATTAAATATGTAACTGGCCTCCAATTTTAAGAGCTGAACCTTTCATTTATTGCCTTTTGGAGACAGGTTAAAGCTCCTTGCAGTGAACTTGCTGAAAATGTACAAGCTGGAATCTATTGTCAGTTCAGTTATGCTCTCTGAGGTTGTCTCTCTGTGTAAACTGTATTTAGTGTTGGCCAGCA